CTCTTCGAGGGCATCGACTACTCCTGCTCCTTGTCCCGTGCCCGTTTCGAGGAGTTGTGCATGGACTACTTCCGCAACTCCATGGGTCCGGTGGAGAAGTGCCTGAAGGACTCTGGCATCGACAAGAAGAGTGTGCACGATGTGGTGCTGGTCGGTGGCTCCACGCGCATTCCCAAGGTGCAGTCAATGATCCAGGAGTTCTTCAATGGCAAGGAGCCAAACAGGTCCATCAATCCTGACGAGGCCGTGGCCTATGGTGCCGCAGTGCAGGCTGCCATTCTGACGGGCGAGGGTTCGTCCCAGGTGCAGGACCTTCTGCTGCTGGATGTGACTCCTTTGTCCATGGGTCTGGAGACCGCCGGTGGCGTCATGACCAAGCTCATCGAGCGAAACACAACCATTCCGACGAAGAAGGAAATCGGGAACGGGGCTGGGTGTTGTTGATGCCGTATTAGATGCTGCGCATGCATCACACTTCTGAATGCCTTTCTGCGAGCCAAGAACAGTGAATCCCTCTCCGGTGCACGTCTTGTTGCTGCACTATCCGATGCCTTTAACCTAAAGATACTCTAAGAGACTCAGCAACGTCATCGACGTGGCAACCCCATTTTTCTGATCGGAACCTGTGTTCAGCGCGACCTCCAGGCACAGACCTTCACCACCTATGCCGACAACCAGCCGGGTGTGTTGATCCAGGTCTTCGAGGGCGAGCGTGCCATGACGAAGGACAACAACTTGCTCGGCAAGTTCCACCTGGACGGCATCCCGCCAGCCCCCCGCGGTGTTCCTCAGATCGAGGTGACATATGACATCGATGCCAACGGCATTCTGAACGTCAGCGCTTCGGACAAGTCTACTGGCAAGTCCAACCAGATCACGATCACAAACGTGTCTTGAAGTGGAACTAGAAATAGCTTTTCAGCAGTGATTCAGAGGATTTCAGGTGCAGCATGCAGTAGTACAAGACACTCATGTACGCGCAAGTTTTCGTTTGGGGGTACCGCATGCGGAAGCGAGCGAGGAGAAGGGCCGTCTGTCGCAGTCCGAGATCGATCGCATGGTGCAGGAAGCAGAAACTTGGGCGCAATGACCTCAGAAGCGGTTTCTGTTTCTGAGACCAGTATTGGTT